ACTGGACTTCTAGACTAACGAAGACAATGATCAATCAGTCATGAAAGTAATTAATATGTATGTATGTAGTTAATATGATGTAATGAGAACTAAATACACAAACATGTGACCAGACATTTTCACCTGTAAAAATTAGACTAAAGTTTAAATCAAAGAAAGAAAAAACATTTGAGTTAGAAAATCTGAATGATCGTCACATGATCAGATGTTCATAGACAAAGCATCAGCTGACCTGTTTCCTGTCAGCTCACTGACCTAAAATCAGCTGACCTGTGTGTGTGTGTGTGTCAGGAGTCAGATGCTGCTTTAATGTAGATGTTGGGGTAAACACCTGATCCAGGTGAGCAGGTGATGTCACTGCTCCAGTTTCACAGCTGATTCACGTTGACCAGGACAGACTCCTTCAGTCCATCCTTCAGAGACACTGGAGCTGCAGCAGCACAGGAATTCAGCTTTTATTTTGACAGAGAGATGATGTGTTCCTCCTCCGACAGGTGGAGGTGTGTGCAGCTCAGCTTCATGTGGACGACAGTAGAAACAACAAGCTTCCATCTCTGGGTTCTACTGCCACAGAGCTGCAGGAGAAACCCTGTCTCTGTCTCTCTCTGTGTGTCTGTCTCTCTCTGTGTCTCTCTCTCTGTGTCTGTCTCTCTCTCCCTCTGTGTTTGTCTCTCTGTGTCTGTCTCTCTCTCCCTCTCTGTCTCTCTCTCCCTCTCTGTGTCCCTGTCTCTCTCAGGTCAGTTCTCTGCAGGTTGTCTGTTGTAACAACATGAAGCTGCAGCTCAGGACGATTTTAAAATCAGTTCCTTTATTAAAATATTAATAAAATAAATGAGAGAATTTTCAGTTAAAATCACCAGAATGAAAGTGATGCTGTTTCTTCTTCATGTGCAGAATGAAACAGACACACTCACAGATGATTCAGCATCATCTCTCATCAGACTTAACAAGCTTGGGGCCAATCAGCCGGCCAGGCGTACGTTAGGGGCGGAGTCACAGGTCACATGTCCTGTAGGTGCAGACAGGTGATGTGTAGACTGACTGGAGATCAGGTCACACAGGGAGCGTGTGGAGGGGAGGAAACCTGATCCAGGTCCAGGTCTGAGACACAGTCACATGCTGGAGATCAGTGTGATGTCACCTCTGACATTATCCAATAATGTCATATATATATTAATGTATATATATATATGTATATTTATTAATACATTCATATATATCAGTTTTATCAGCTTCAAACATCATCAGTGTTTTTATTCTATGAAGTATTATTCCATTTGACTAAAGACTGACATCATCACACACCTCAGGTGCAGCCTGAGCTGTGACTTCAGGTGTATCTACTGTGATCAGACAGGTGAGTCTGTGGAGGGAAAGACAGTGTTCTGATCCACAGTTACATAAACAGTGCTCCCTGCTCCCCTCCTTCCTCTGTGCGTTGCCCCAGTAACGTAAACACCTCGGATACGTGTTGCTGCCACTATGGACATTTTACACTACTGAAATAAAATATTGAATATTAATTATATATTGAAACAAAAACTGATACCATTACGAAATGTATTTTATTAAAATTTATGTAACTGATTTGACTGATTTACAGGATGTTGTCCATCGTCGTTTTTGGCGCACGAGCAAGGTGCAATGACTGATGGGTAATCTTCTTGAACGGTTGCTCAGTTCTCTTTGAACAGCACCTTCCCTGAGGTTTGGAGTCTTACTAACACGGCTGAACGCCTGCAGTACACTTCAAGGGGAACTACTAGGTGATGGGAACGCACCCTCAAAGGTCAACTGGGGGTCAACACTGACTCCGCCTCCACAGGAAGTAACTCAGGTTTGTCACAAAGTGTTTGACAACCAGCGTCACAGCCTGAGGAGGAGGAGGAGGTGTGACTCTTATAAACGCCCTGCTCAGAACAAACTGGTGACTGAACACACTGCTCCTCATTGATTATGTCATACTGGTCTGACTGGTCTATGGTCCCCCCCCCCCCGCAGAAATGAAATAATAGTTGGAGAGTCAGTCATTGATCCAGAGCTGCTGTGAATATCAATGACAGAGAAATACACAGCTGCAGCGCACACGCACACACGCACACACGCACACACGCACACACGCACACACACACACACACACACACACACACACACACACACACACACACTCTCAGCTGCAGGAAAAAGACTCCTTTTACTTTTAGGTTCACTGAGAGATGAAAGATAAATACACCCCAGAGGACCCCCCCCCCCCCCCCCCCCCCTTCTTGATTTTCTCTTGGCATTATGGGATTTCAGATCAACTGATGTGAGCAGAACGAACTGACACTGATCATCCGACCACCACTTTCCACTGGTCTCTCTCTGAGTCCGAGTCCGAGACTCCAGACTGTCAGCTCCTCTCAGGTCTCGTCTTCCTGTGTGAGTTTTGGGGAACCCCCCCCTCCAGATATTTAAATCATTCTACTTCCTGTAACCAGCCTCCTCATCAGCACCTTCTTCTTCTCTGCTCTAATTGTGTGACATCCAACAATCTGCACGGCTCATTAAAGGGGGGTTGTGGGACCAGACCACTCCTGTAGGTGGCTTCATTACTGAGCCCATTAATAACCATCACTGAGACACACAGAGGAAGTCTGAGTGTTCTGAGCTGCTAACGCATTAATTTAATTAGCAGCATTAACGACGTATCAGCCCACAGACAGGAGAAGAAGAGAGAGAGGAAACACAGAGACGTCAGAATAAAACATGAACAGGATCTGAGATTGATTCACTTCCCTGAGAGACGCAGGGAGGAAATCACCTTCATTAACCACTTCCTGTTGAAGAGGGAAACAAAATAAAAGTCCTCAGGGGGGTTAAAGTGAAGAACGGCTGCTGCCTGATGTGAAAACACTGTGAACTCCAGTCCATCCATGACATAAGTTTGTTCTTTACGTTCACTTGACACACTCATCCTTGTGAGGCTGACATGATTTTTTTATGTGATTTTTGAGTTAATTTTACTTTTAAAGCTGATATAGTTCTAATTTCTTGTTATTAAAACACAAAATATTTTATCACTTGATAGAAGATTTTGTGTCAAACTGACAAATCTCCAGTCAGACGAGGTTCATGTGACATTTATTTTGTGTCAGGTGAACTCTTTCATGTTACTGGACTGCAGAGTTCTGTGTGGAATAAATCTGAGTGAATAATGAAAGAGTTTATGTTCATTTGACTTTTCATTTGTAATATACAGACAGACGTTCTCTGATGGTCAGTCTGAGGTTCCTCCACAGATACAGACTCAATCTGATTCGTTAAGCTCTGCAGCCAACAGCCAATCATGCGTTTGATTCACTACCTCTCATCTCTTCAGATACAACAACACGAGCGAACTCAGAGACACAGCCGTTAACAAGATGGCCGCCCACCTGGACTTCAACCTTCACGGTGTGGATCCACGTCACCACAGTCAACCCCTGCCTGTCCTGTCTCCACCTGAACCAGGTCAAAGAACCGGTCTGTGTCTGGATCCTGCTGCTGATCCAAGTCCTTCATCCCCCTGCATCAGTGAAGATTTGTGTTGAAACACAGACAGAGGGAGAAAGTGTGTTTATGTCACAACTGAAAACACATCTTAAACTTTGTGTCACAGAACCTCCGACATCCACAGACAGATGTTGGACAGATGTTGTGTCCTTCTGGGATATGAACAACATCTAGTTTGTACCAAGAAAAACAACATTTTCTTCAACAGAGCGCTGACCTCTGACCTCTCTGTCAGTCAGAGTCTTTAACAGCAGCAGGAGGAGGCGGTCATGTGACTGAATAATACATGTGTGTTTGTGCTCCCCTGCAGTCGGGTCACTAGAAACATGACACACACACACACACACGCAGAGTGATGTGTCATTATATGACAAGCTGTTTGATTAATGGCTGGGGAGCAGGTGTGTGTGTGTGTGTGTGTGTGTGTGTGTGTGTGTGTGTGTGTGTGGTCAGAGTTAACATCAGCTCTCATCAGGTTTTATGTTCAAACAAACAGGTTTTTTCTGTGTCTGTCACATGACAAACTACAGACACTGAATCCTACAGAGCAGCCAATCAGAGGACAGGAAACTTCACCTGAACGAACGAACAGACAGACAGACAGACAGACAGACAGACAGACAGTAAGACAGACAGACAGACCAGTCTTTATCAACAGTTTGTTCATGAGACAGAGACAGAAAATGTCCCAGACTCCAGCTGACTGAAGGAAACACTGTTGACAGTCAGTGAAGAGACAGTTCAGTTTCAGCACCACGGACAGAGACAGCTACAACAACAGACATATCTGGACATATGACAAGAATGTAGATATTAGTAGGAAAAAATCAATTAAAGCCATTTATCAATGAAAAAGCTGGTTTATCTTCTCAGGTTTTCAGTAACGGAATCTCTGAGTTTTGGACAAAATGAGACGTTTGAAGACGGAGACGTTTTACACTAAAGAGAGAGAGAGAGAGAGAGAGAGAGACCTTGGTGGTTAAACAACAACTTTTACAACAAACAGGGAACAGACTCCAGTTAATCACAAGCTTCATCTGAAGTGAGAGGATGGTGGAGCAAAGCATCATGGGAGCGACAACAGGTCAGTATCAGCACCACAGACAGACACACAAACATACTCACAACAACACAATGAGCTATGACTGATCACCTAAATCATCACAGACAAACGTTTCAAACATGGAGACTAAAGAAAAACAACCCTATCCTCCAGCAGCCAATCACAACGTAGAGACCTTTAGAACAGACACCTGTCTCCAGGTGTTTTCACTCTGCTCCTCTTCAAACTCACTTTCCAAAAGTGGAGTAAAATCCAGAGTGAGCGTAACACTGGAGTCAACATGACGTCAGATTCAGCTCATCACCTGATGTCACATCAAACTCCTGAAACCACCAACACTCAACCCCGCCCATTTTGGGGGCCACGCCCCCTAAACACAGACACATACATCAGCGCCACTTACCCCAGCGTTGTCATAGTGACGATGGTGTACCAGAAGGCGGCCGGGATGCTAGTGAACTTGCTGCCGCTGGATCCTTTCTCCGCATAGAACATGACGGTGGCGAAGATGATGATAGCCATGGTGAGGGAGAAGAGCAGGAAGCCCAGCTCCGAGGCGCAGCTCTTCAGCGTGTAGCCCAGGATGCGAAGTCCCGCGGAGTGTCGCGAGAACTTGAAAATCCGAAACACCCGGAAGACGCGCAGCGTGACGAAAGCGCCGCTCACGTCCTCGTTGTCAGTCATGACCAGGCCAATGTAGTAGGGCATGATGGCCACCACGTCTATGATGCTCATCACGCTCTTGACGAACTTGTAGCGGCTTGGTGCCGCGAGCAGGCGCAGCAGGTACTCCACCGTGAAGATCATGACGCACGCGGTGTCCAGGCAGAAGAAAGCCAGCGCGTACCGCTCACCGCACGACATTTCCTTAACGCGGTTCGGCGCGGTGCCGCACGGGACCGTCTCCACCACGTTTGCCAACACCGACACCGCGATGAAGAAGCCGGTGACGTAGTAGAAGACCAGCGCCATGGTAGAGGTGTGCGGGTTCTCGAAAGCCCGCCACATGGTCTCCCGGAAGCTCAGGTCCGGGGAGACCAGCTCATTGCTCTGGTCGTTCTCCTCGTCGTCCTGGATCCGCTCCTGGTTCTCCCGCCGTCGGTCCTTGTAGTCCTCGTAGCAACAGTCCCCGATGATCTCCGGGATGATGCCGAAGAACGCCAGCTCCTCGTCGTACGCGGAGATGCACTCCTGCCGCGGGTAGTGAAGCTTCCCGGTGCGGTAGAAGTTGAGGATGTGGCGGAAGATGTCCGGGTCGCGGTCGAAAAAGTACTCTTTGCTCTCCTCGTGGAAGAAGAAGTCCCGCTCCGAGCTGCCCAGCAGGGTGTCCGGGTACCGCTCCAGCGTGTCCCGCCACGTCTGGAACTTTGTGCCGCTCACGTTCAACACGATCAGCCCGCCCTGCCCGCGGCGCTTGTCCTTCGGGGGCACCGGCATGGGCGCGCTGGCCACCGGCATCCACCCGATGGCCGCCGCCCGGGCGAACGGCAGCCACGCCGCCACTCCTGCTGCCATGCTGCTCCTGGAGCTCTGCGGAGGGTTCAGGGAGCGGCGGAGCAGCGAGAGGACATCCGGGGACAGAAGACACAGAACCGGGAACAGGGATGGGACTGATCCACCGAGGTACTCCGGGAAAAAAATAGGATTTTACGCGCGAAATCGACGCTTTTAGCCACAATCAACCAAATCCACAAGTGATCAGCAGGAGTCAATGATCGTTTTTTTGAGCGCGGGAAAGCAGCAAACGCAAAAACAAACTCACCGCCACACAGAAAACTCCTCTGGAGCTTCAGTCTGATAAAAAAAAACCCGCTAAAATCCTCCTCGCGGCGTTTTCCCTCCCCACACACAACACACACACACACACACACACACAAGGACACACACACTCACATACACACTGAGTTTCCTCCAGCAACAAGTTCCGGAATCATCAGGAGGATCCCGCACTCCGCACCGGGACACGGAGCTGGCACCGATCCGCCGCAGGCATGCTCTCCTCCGGGTCTCCCCACCGGAGTCTCCCGGGCTCCGCAGCAACCCGTGAGTTTCCCCGCGGAGAGAGAGAGAGGTGTCCTCAGCCGCAGCGGAGAGGAGGTCCGAGCCGAGAAGAACCGAACCAAACTGAAGCGGTAAAACAGGAGATGTTCGGGAGGCTGGTTCTCCGGTCACACACACAGGTGCTGCTGAGAGAGAGACTGAAACCACGCAACTACGCTTCTCTCTCTGTCTCTCTGTCTGTGTCTCTCTCTCTCTCTCTCTCTCTCTCTCGTTGGGGGCGTGTCTGAGGAGAAACCCCGCGGATCTCCTCCGCGTTACGCACCGTCACACAGCACCGTGCACCGGGACACACGCCGTGGAGATTACATGTCAGGGGATCGTTTGGTTAATCAGCCCCGGGCGGTGACAACAGGCCTGACACACATTCACACCTCTCCCCCTGTAGCAAAGACAGGTGGAAACCTAAATGCTCCACAATGAAGAGGCTGTACACCTTTATATGAAGTGCTGCAACTGATCAAATAACACTGCACCACTTAATATACACTGTAAAAAAATCCTAATTTTACGGGAAATAACTGTTTTCTAACAGTAATTTCCTGTCTTTTTAAAATTGTGAACAAAAGTCTGTAAAATGACAGAAACGATCTGTGGATTAACAGCCAAACTTCTATTTTAAGCATTAGGCCAATAATAATGAATTACATTTATTTCCCATTTCTGTAAAGACAAATTACTGTAATTACTGACTAATTATCTGTAATTAAAAATGTAGCCTGTTATTACAAAGGTTAATGTCCACACTAACAATTTAAAGATTCTTTTGTAATTTTTCACGTTACTAGGCTTTGTGTTTGTGCCAGAAGAAACCATATCTGGATGAGAGGGTGGAGCTGGGGAGGAGGGAGGGGGGGGGGGGATCTGACCTGTGTCCTCCAGGAAACCAAGTACACCCACCTGCATCGGCAACCTGACAGCAACAGGCTCCTGGCTGAGCATTTGGCAAATAAACAGTAGCAGCAGCACAGTATAGAAATCACAACATTGAAGTTTTTCCTGAATCTGTAATTAATCAAAGACTTTCTATGTTGCTTTAATCAACAACAAACATGATAGAAATGTTTAAATGTGTCCGTCCTTCAACAGTGACAACACAGGATCTAGAGACAGATACTAGAGTTTGTCCTTTTCTAATTTGTCTTATGAACTTACCAATTTAAATAACAATGAAAACACTAATTCACCAAAGTGACTGTTAGATTCATCATGAGGCAGATGGTAAATATGAAGAAACATTCAGTACAATTTAATCACAGGATTATTTATTAAACACCTTTTCAATGACAACAATGAAGTTGTGAATAAAACTAATGAACATGAGCTGTACTACACTGACAACTGCTTCACAATCTGAACTGTCAGTGTTCAGTTCACACTAAAGAGTGTGTGACAGCTGGAGGGTTTTTCCTCCAGGCAGCGGCCCCCGCTCTGCCACAGCAGCTTCAGGTCACCTTCCTCTTCCTGTAGGCTCTGGTCCTGGGTACAGGTAGTCCAGGCAGAGGAGGTGGAGGAACAGAAGAGGGGAGTGGTGCTGGAGCGAGGGGAGGACCAACATCACTGGATGAGGGGCCATGCTGTTCATCGTCTGGAGGAGGAGGAGGAGGAGGAGGAGGAGGAAGACCCCTGCTGGAGGGCCCAGGCTGCTCCTCCAGGACATTGAGGTTAAAGGTCTGTCCTTGTCCCACCTGGACCAAGGACAGACCCTTTGCTGAAGGGAGAGTCTGGCCAGCACCTGAACACACAGACAAACTGACTGTTTTAGGATTTTCAGCTTTCATTAAAAGATAAATCACAGAACAGATTCCAACACACCAACAGCTTCATGACAAACTCTTACCACTGAGTCCTCAATTCAATTCAAAGAGCTGGATGTTGGTCTGAGCCATCAACCTGGGGCCGGCCAGCACTGCCTCTCTGATGCGACATAATCCTTGAGAATGAATGACCACCGAGTCCTCACGGTCCCTCTGGACCACGTGGCCACCGGGTGAAGACGCAGAGCTGGTTGCAAACGGCCTCCACCAGGCGGCTAACACTGGCCCAGTTAGCAGGGCCCGAGTTCAGTCCAAGAAGACAGCTGAAAGATAATCAGAGAGCAGTGTGTGTTAATATAGATCTGATATTCATTAGAGGAAACAGTGATATCTGAAGTGAATCTCACCTCTGGAGACTCTCCTTCCCAGGACAGGAGGTGTTCTTCCCCGTCGCTGCCTTGAACTGTCACCTGGGCTGCCTCTCCTGGTCTCTGGGAGGGAAGACACCTCGCTCTTCCTCCTGCTCTGTCTGGCAGGTGTTGCCAGGAGCTTGGAAGTACTTGGCACTGTATGAATAAATAAATGATAATACACAATATACTTAATCACAAGCTATGACACACGCATGTACCTGGGATGAAGTGGTGAAGGTGGAAACCTGAAGGCTGACCCCGCCCTCTGTCAGTCTACCAGTCTCTGTACAGCTGCACCTGCTGGGTCCTGAATGCAACTGGTGGCTCCTCTGTGTCTCCATATGTCCTGGATGCAGAGAGAATCCAGCAAAGAGATGTCCAGGGTGACGTGGAGATCCTGGATGAGGAGGACGTCTCCTCTGCCCCATGTGTCCTCCTCCAACAGTGGAGCCTCCACTCCTCCCAGGAGATCCTCTGGATCACCACGGCAACAGTCAGGCCGAGCATCCTGTGCTTCCCCTCCAGCTCGGACCGCTGTGCCTCAATGATACAGGCACCTCCGGGGGTCCACCTCCAAGATGTGGTGTCATTAATCTAGCCGCCATCCTGGAAAGCCAACACACCAACATTGGTAACCCAGGCAACCGTTTCAGAAGCAGCACCAGCAGCTTCTTTGTCACCTGTAGGGAGAGATAGACAGAGACAGGTTTCACATGATAATGTTAATATTTGGGTGTGATTTTAGTACACACACAGCAGTGGTGTGAAAGCAGCTGTAAGAACATAAACTCTGCCTGAATTACACTTCATCCTAGAGAAACTCCCTGTTGGAAAAGAATACTAGAGATGGCTGTTGGACAGATCAATCAGTGAGACATACAGTGCATTTAGAAAGTTCTGACTTTGTTACATTATTATTTTGAATATTCTTATAAATCGTTAAATTCATTTATCAATGAACAATGCCAGCAAGCTAGCTGCTAATATTAATGCTAGTTGCTAATGCTAGCAAAATAGCCCCCCCACTTGTCATTCTGCAATGTTATAATGAAATCATTAAATGCAATCATCGTTGAACAATGCCAGCAAGCTAGCTGCTAATGTTAGCACTAATGAAAATGGGGGGCAGCTGTATGTACTGTACGTGCACACGTTCATTGCTGCCATTATCATTATCATTTATTGCCATTATAATATATCATTATTAGCATTATAACTTATCAATACTCATTATCAGTTAGTTTTACAATTATTATTATTTTTGTAAACAATCACAAACAAAATGTCACTTTATATAGACTGTCACTTGTCTATAGTGCTTCATTGTTAAAATGTTCTGAGTCACCTTCTGTTTGTCGGTTTTTCACCAATAAGGATAAATAAAAATGCTAAAGCTAGCTATCCCCCTACTTGTTGTTTTTTATTTTTATGAAATTGTTAAATTCATTCATCAATGAACAATGCCAGCAAGCTAGCTGCTAATGCTACCAAGCTACTCCCCCCTCTGTGTCACCTTCTGTTTGTCCGTTTTTTTTCACCAATGAAAAAAAAAGTTAATGTTAATGATAGAAAACTAACACCCCCACCTGTCAATCTTATTATGAAATTCTTAAATTCATTCATCAGTGAAAAATGCCAGCAAGCCAGCTGCTAATGCTAAAGCTAATGAAATGGGGGGGCAGGTCTATATACTGTACACGCACACTGCCGCCATCATCATCATTTATTTATTGTACATGATTGTAAACATTATACCTGTAATAAGTGTCATTATTGTAGAAAAGAAGTTAATCCTGATGATCAAAGCTAATGCAAATGCTAGCCAGCCGACCATTTTTTTATTTGCAATCTATTGGCCGCTGCTAATGCTAATGCTAGCAAGTAAGCCCCACCCCTCTTTTCTGTTTTTCCCTATTTTTTTCCCACCAATAAAGAAGAAAAAACGAGAAGTTAATGCTGATTCTAGCTGCTAATGCTAGCAAGCTACCCCTCCACCACCCCCTCTGTTCTGTTTTGTCCGTTTTTCACCAATAAAGATTTAAATTCAAAAAAGCTAACAAAAACAGCGGCTAGCTCGCCCCCGACTTAGCCCCTTGTTCAAATTAGGCTCAAAATGATTTTGAGCTTATAAAGTGATGATTCCAATATTTGTAGTTGTAAATCAAACTTTGTAAACCTGGAAAAAAAAATCTGCATGTGAAATTCAAGTTTGTGCATGGGAAAACAAATTGTGCTTGTGACAAAGAGATTTGTATTTGTTAAGACAGTTTGAATCAAAACTGAAGAAATGCTCAGTGGTGAGGTTAAACAAAGACAGGGAAAGAAGAAATGCTTTTGTGGATGTCTGTGCAGACACAGCAGAAAACTGTAAATCTCAGCACGTAACGCTCCCAGTGTGCGACACTGACAACTGCATAGTTTGACCCTTGTAACGTCAGTGTGTGGGAACAGCGTTTTACAGTTCTCTTCTCTATATCAGGACACAGATGTTGACAAAACCATTTCTTCCTTTTACATGTTTGTGTTTAACTTCAAACTGATCATTTGTTCATAATTTACATTCAGACTT